TTCGGAGAGCGATGTTGCAAGAAGCAAGCAACCTTTGTTTAACGACGAAGCGGCATGTGAAGACACAAAAAAACAGAACACAATGACACCCATCCCTCCTCCGAATGTATGCTACAATCTTGCCACCATCCATCCGTTCCGTAGCCCTAACCCTAACACCCTTAGCCAGTAGAACGTTCTGCCACACGGTCTCGTCAATCCTGGCGAGCGTGGTCTCAGCCTGGTACGGAGATGAGGACAGGTCCAAGGTCTACCATTGCACCCTTCGGCTACGACGCCCGATCAATCGTGAGTTCCGTTCTTCTCGTACCATGACGTTGCCGCTTTCCTTGCCGTATTCTCCCACACCATACACAGCTCCGTTGTAAGGGCCGTATCCCTCGAGCCACCGCAAAATCTCTTGCGAGGGGGTGTCCTCCAGCCGAGCCCTAGGGTCGGTGCTGAGCATCGAGCTGTAGAGGGAGGAGGGGGCGGGGGACGCACTCAGTTTGCCCGCCGCACGTCACTCGACCATTCGCTGGGCATCCCTTTCCGGGACGGAGTACCGTGCCTATTTCCCGTAGAGGTACCGCCAACTCTCGAGCGCTCTTTACGTGTCTTCCATGCTTCACACAGGAGCCTAACGAGGAAGGGCGGGAGGGAGGGCTCGAGCTCTCACTCCTTCATCGTTGTGAAAGTCCGGTAGGACAAGGATCATGCTGTATGATATTCAAGCTTTCGGTGTGTACCGATCCCGTCGTTACCTTAGGGCCAGACAGGCCCTCTCTTCACCCGCCATTGCGAGGAGGGACACCGCCTCTTTGTTTACACCGAATGCGTCGATCTTGAGGCTGGATGTCAGGCACTGCAGATTTTGCATGAGCATTAGTGGAAGGTCGATGTTCAAGTGTCTTGCGAGAGGGATACTCAAGATCTCCACAGCAAGAGGAGGTCGGCTCAGTCCTTGAACCCACAATGATCGGATGTTGCAGCTGTTGTGCCGCCTCAGCAACAACCAAAATAAAGGGGGAAAGCGATTGCACACCATGCCGACATGCGTGAGTTCTTGCGGTGGGTTTGATGCTGACGAAGGGTCTCGGGCGGGTCACGGGGGGGGGTGCAACGGAGGCGGAAGTAGCGCGCAAGGTTGCACAATGGGTGGGACGTTATTCCTACTACACACGCTTATGCAAGAGGATGAGATGGGCGTGGCCCGGATTGGAACACCAGGCGAAGGGTACATTGAAATCGTACCAGTAACTTTTTTGCCACGTGCGTTCCGTTTCGAGGCACACCAATAGCAACATGGGCGTCACACGCCGCCGAAGTATGTGTCCCGAACGTAGAACATTCTGCACGCCTTACCTCTGCCTCTTTTGCACACTCTTTCCCAGTATAACACGCGAGTAGACCACAAACAAAAAGGTGCCACGGTGTTTTTTTAAACTACTACGCACATGATCATCCTGGAAGACAAACCGCAAAGTCAGGTACGAAGACAAATTAGCAAGGGTCTTGTAAACATCAAACACCCTTCGAGACACGCACAGACAGTGCAAGCAACGCAAGCGATAAAGTAGACCGCCTGGAACGGCAAATGTTTCGATGCATAAAACATAAACAGCAGTCCCGGAACAACATCGAACCCTTGTGCCTCGGAAGAAAGTCATACAAGAATAATCACCTCGATCAGGAACTTGACGCTATACGGCAACCTGCTGTACTCCGGTAGGTTGTCCCAGCCGTTCAGCGGTTGCCCCAAGGCGTACGTGTGAACGCGGACGGGAGACAGAAGGTGGTCTTGTCGGGGGCGAGGCTCGGTGCAGAGGCGGAACGCAAAGAGCTCCTGGAAAAGTCTTGCTCGCTCGCTCAAGTCCTGAGAGGGAGGGGGCGGGCGGATGAATGGCAAGAAGGGTGGGTACTTTTGTGGCTGGTCTCAGCTTTCGTAGAAGCGCATTCGCCAAATGTCAATACCACCACTACCACCGACAACACCACTACCACCGACAACAGCTCGCACCTCCAACAGGTCGGAGACGTCGATGCGGTAGACAAGGCACCGCCCGAAGGCGCCGTTCGGGGACATGTCTCCGACGCGCCCGAGCTTCTTGGGCATCCTCCCGTCAAACCCGTCGTTGAGCTCCCAAAGGTTTCCCTCGCAAAATACTTCTCCGAGGCCGAAAAGGATGGACTCTAGATCGAGGAGAGTCTGGCGGAGGAAAGAATGGCAGACAGGGGGGGGGACTTACGCCTACACGGCAATGGGGGAGGGTTGGGGGAGGGACTCCTCCAAGAATACTTGAATCGCCGTTGTTGATTTGACCTTTCATGATTTCGCGATGGGAGAGAAGAAAAGAGGATGAGGATATTGTTCGGGCAAGGATTAAAATCGCTTGGACACCATGGCATCCGAACAGAAAATGTCCCAAGTCCCTGCGCGGGAACGGGTCACGTCAGCTGTGCAGCAACAGGTCGCTGGGTAGTCCGGTCCTTGCCAGGAATCTGGAGCAGCTTTTCGCGGGTGTCCGCCTTATCGATTCCATTCCTGCTCGAAATCCTCACACGTTTCTTGGTACCGCGGGCCAACAAACATGTGTGCGAATCGCTTCGCTTCATGTCTCCCTTGGCCAACTTTGCGTGGGTGCTGCCCTTGAGGAGCTCCTCGATCACTGCGGTGCATCTTTCATCTTCCTTTAGACTGTTTCTTGTGGCCTTCTCAGCAGCGCCTCCGGCAACGGGCATGTTGATTAAAAGAAGTGGCCTCTAACCGAGGAATGCCGTGCAAGTCGAACGAAATGATCATCGAAAAAACAACAAACGGACTCCAACTGCGAAGAGGTTTGACAAACCACTCGTTGAAGAGACTCCTATCGAGCAAGATACGCGTTGTATGAGGAGATGTCCTTGACAATGGGGTTCACATCCACGGCTACTACAAACGCCAGGACCGTCGAGGACACGACTATGCTGCCAGACGAAGAAACGGTTGCCCCTTCGAGGACATACTACAGGTCTCGAAGAAACGCCTTCGACATGACTAGTGAGTAAAGTCGTTGCTACCGGAGTTTTCATCCGAGGCCGCGTTCCCATCTTCGTCCCACCTAGAACACGAACCTGACTTCAAACGTGTTCTCAACGAGGTTTCGAGCAGGTCTTATCGGAAGATGTTTGTTAGGGTATGGCTCGTTCTCAAGGTGGGATGATCACCGGAACAGGGTCTCGTGTCGAGACTTGGCAACAAATACTTTTCTTCACTTGTCTCGTCAAACATGGCTTGTTTGATCCCGGAAGTATGTCCCCGGAGGGTAAACCTTTTCTTCGTTGGGCGGCTGCCTTCTACAATATCCTATTTTCAAAGTACTACAAGCGTGTTTTCGAAATCTCGTGTAGAATTGGTTTTTATATGTAAACAATTCATCACTCAGCAAATTTGAGTTTCAAGACGTACACACTCTAGTCTATGAGAAAGGGACGGGGTATCCGAAATTTAACCAATTTTGGTTTTATTCTACTCTTTGTTTGATATACTTCGTTTGACCACATAAGTGTAGTAAAAAATATGTCGTTGAGCGACCTCAATCGAGGACGTCTGATAAATATTGCTGCTGTTGGTAAGATTTTGACCCGGCAGAGCACACGCCCCCCAACGGAGCTCACTTTGTTTCCTATCCATCTCAACAATACAACACAAGTGTACCACACGTTTTTCTCACTACTCTTTGAGCCAAATCCCTTTTAATTGTATACTCGTGTTTACAAATACACCTCCGCACACCTGTCACAAAGGTTGTGGAACAGCGCATTTGATATCGTGCTCACTGCTGTGCTAGACTGTTGACATGCGTCACTAACATAATAGTATTGTTTTAGTGAGCGCCTCTTTTCAGCAGATCTGACATTCGATGAAAAGAACACACCAAGCAATGCGGCACAGGCAAAACCATCAGGGAAATTTTCTTGACTTGCACACCATTGATGATGCTCGTCACGTAGACCTCATGGTATATCATTGATACCATACCATAGCGCAAACCCGATCCACTAACTTATACGTACCGAGGCTGATTCCTTGCGCTCCGGTTCGCCGTTCAGAAACGGAGGGCGCAACAGCCTGAACGCCAGCCACGTCCTGCCCCCGTCGTTCGTCAGCTCAACCTTGTTGTATTTTACAAGAGACGGACACAAACGCGACGGCGACATATGGCAGAAAAACAAGGTTCTGAGCCTGATTTCATACTTGGACACCAGAATACTGCCCGTAGAACCACCGAGAGGCGTCAGCTACAAAGGCGATTACAACGTAATCATGTTACGGACTTTCATATTTTCAAACCTGTCCGTCAACGTGGCGCCTCTTAAAGTTCACTTGGCCATGCCGTCCGCGGTCATCCTCGAACATCAGCGAGGCCAGGGATCTTCTTGTTTGACTCGGGCTGGTTCGACAAATCTAACGTTAGAGAGTATGGTAAGATACAACGGTTGTTACATTGGGTCTTCAAGTGAGTGGCAGCAAACAAGCACAGGGTAGAATTGGTTCGAAGCTATGTGGGCTCCAAGACAACCGTGGTGATAATCAGGAGAAGGACCCGGCAGTGCGTGAAAAAGGGCTGCTGTGGTAGATTGAAAACGAGTGGCACCACGGGAGATACAAGAAGAGCTTGTTCACTGGTTGTTGGTTTGGGCTTGTGACCATGTGTTCGGGACAGAACGCTTTTACCAAACGGCAGAGCTTGTTTAGTGCTGGTCGTCCAGGCTGCCATTGCTCCGGAAGCACGACCGGACGGTAATAGACATCACCAAAGAGGCACACCGACTTGATCACCGCTTGTGAGCACGTGTCGTCCATTATTGCGGTGCGCTACCCACACGTTTGATTTGCTCCGTCAAGCCCCCGTCCAGACCCAAGCGGTGGCTGGTGAGACGTCTATACTGGCAGACACTCGGTTTGTCGTGAAGCATGACAGTGACCCACGGATAGAGATTCAGCACATGGATTGCCTTCTTGTGGTGTCTCTCCGCCCCTACGCAGAACGACAAAACACTTTCACCTGAAATGTCACACCCGACTTCACCGCCCACAGGCACGTCAGGTCGCCGGGAGGCCACTGCACGCACAGCTGCAACCCCCCGCACCTGAACCCGGGCGCGGTGCCCATGGGTCTCCGGAACCGAGCCTTGGACGGCCTTATCCTGAGGGTCCTTCCACCAAACACAAGATCTTCGTAGCTCTGTAGGACGTCGGCAATCTCCCGCGAGCGTAGCACCACGAACGCGAACGTTGCCTTGGCATTCCGCTTCACCTCGCACCGCAAGATGGACGTGGTGGCGAGCGCTGGGCTGGGAGAGGAAAGTCGCAACACGCTGCCTTGGAGGAACTTCGCCAGGTCTGGCGCCAGGGTACCGTGGGGAACGTTGCCGATATATACTTCCACCTGCTTCTTCGCCGCCTGGTGTTGATGGCCGAATTAGGATGTAGTAGTCGCGAACAAGTAAGGTCCGAGTGGTTGAGAGTTCCACAACTTGGCTGAGGCCTGGTTTCACACAAAGCTGTTGCTATCAGAAGCAGTTTCCACCATATGGACTATACGCAGTAGCGTTTGACCACAGCCGTTGTTCAAAGATCACTTAGAATTAACCAAACGGACATGTGCCCTGCAGAAGAAGATCCACACCCTCTTTGGGAGAATATCAGAGGCGTGGTCAACAACCAGGGTCACCCGACCAGATCTATCCAACTCTCCAAGCGCATCATTCGTCAGTTTCCGTCGACACCGCCTACCGATGCGGGCCTCAATGTCGTACATTTAAGACGGGTTTATCGCCGTTACAACTCCAATCTCCCCCCCTGCTTGGTGTGAAGGATCTTGGGCTAGGAAACCCCGTTCATCTCTCACCCAACACTCGGGGTAAGTAGGCCTTTCCACGTCCTCAAGGGGCTCTTGTGAGATCCCCGTTTGAAGGCATCATGCGTTTCGAACTGTTTGTTGGGGAACATGCGGAAGTAGGGACGCAGCTGTGTTGACCGCGCCATTCGGCGGACGCCACACGCCGATACGGCCACAGTCTTGTGGTACGGCTTTCAACGCACGAGGCCCAAAGTAATTTACGTTTATAACAACAGCAGTGGTATGGCTAAAAAGGTTAGGTTTACTCGCCTCATCAAACTGGCGTTGCCCAGGGCTTCCCTCGGCCTTCAAACGCTGATACTCTTCGTTGGACCCCCGCTGCTGACTCGCGGAGTCCAGCATCCAACGGGCATGCTCAGAGTTCATCGGAACGCCCCGTGTGTGTATCCCCCCGCGTCGTGGCATTTGTCGCCGCGCGTGATCCTGCTTAACAGAGCAACCAACAAGCGCGTGTTATCTACGCCGTTGTCACACATCGTTTGCGACTTATCCTGACCATAATCAGGTTGGGGCATGGCGTCGGTTAGCGGGAAAAACGTATATGATCCTCGGGGTATGCGGAGAAGCAGGCCCAGACAAGCGAAACAAGACGAGGGTAGAGAGCTGGTGAGACTGAACAGAAGCCGACAGGGACAAAAAAACAAGTTTATCGCGCAGCTCACAGGCGTAGGGCAATCAACCTGTCAAGGAAATTGTACTCGACGCGCTGAAAAGTATGCTGGGTTTCCCACACTGAACTGCGGGCAGTGGGGGCGGTCGCCAGTATTTTGAGCTGGCAACTTGCAACCTTCACACATGCCCCAAAAAGTGGACAGCAGTTGCCTGTGCGAGTCGCCGTACATTTGTAATCGGCTGCCATTGCTATTCGTGATCGTGATTCAGAATCAGAGAGTCCCGTCAGCACAAGAATGCAAGGCGAACACCGCGCGTGACTAAGTACACCTCCTGCGAGCGGGGTCATGTGCCGGAAAGTAGAGCCATTTCAAATCCCGCTCTGTATGCGCGTGTTCCTATGCCGACTACTGATCAATACTTGAAGTTGTACACAGGGCATGTAGCATGAGCTCCGTAACGAACGAAACTGCTTCAACCCGACCGTCACGCCCATCTGAGCACCTCAGCAGTTCTTGGTGAGATTCCAGGGGCAAGGCCCCGCTCCAAGATCTTCAACGAACCTGATACTTCATGTACACGGAAAATAGAGCCACTCCAAACCCCGCTCTGATAAAAGTACCGTTGTGGGCAAGTCAAGAGCTTTCAACCAGTGCAAGGATGACTCTCATCGTCAGAATGTCTAGAGCACCTCAGCAGCAGTCCCTGGTGAGATTGCAGCGGCAGGACCTCGCCCCAGGATCTTGAACTGACCTGGTCCGAGGAAATGAGACTATGTGATGCAAATGGTGGAAGACGTGTTATGGAGGTAGAGGACAGGAGAGCGTGTGTTGCAGCTTGGGCGGGGGGGCCCGCCGCAAGGGAAATGGTGCAATCGTAGATAGTATACTAGATGTTTGCGTCGCCGAAAACGCCGTTCACCAACCGCGGACCACGGCGGTTGTAAACTGCTGCAAACTGGGTATGACGCATGTGACCAGTGCAACCGCATATGCTATCTACGTACGTTTGGAAAGTCGAGCGTACAATATTCACGTCCACCTTCCTTTCTTTGCGTTGCGCGCCGGGGAATTGATTTGGACTAATGAAATGAACCGAGTGAGAGGACACGAGGCATAGTCTAGACTCTGTACATGTAGTACATGTGTCAACTACAGCAGTGGTGTAGTCTACAGCAGTAGTCTACAGCAGCTCGTAGTGATGTGTCGGGCGCTAGTCTACACCTTCCGTGTTGTTTGATGTCATGGTAGCTTTGTGTCTACTCGTTCGCGGACGCCCTCTGCCCTCTGGGACGTTTCGAGGATAAAACGTTTTGCCCGATGCACTTCTGAAACGTTCAGGAGGCCAACCCTGCACCCCAACAGTTCGTTGTACAGCAGTAGATCGTTGTACATTGTCTATGATGCAAGATGAGGGCTACCAAAGGTTGGTGGGGACAGCATTTGACTCGGTTGGCGTGGTACAATGTACGTGCTACACGTCGGTGCGCGTGGTTGGAAGCAAAAGGCCACACCTTGTTACCTTACACTACCACTGCAGACACGACGACACCACGCAGTGTTCGGAGATTTGCACGTATGCGTATGTTTGTCTAATAATATATCGAGACGACCACTATTTTGTGCTGAAGAACTTCTGTGCCGAGACTTTGTCCATTCCCTCAATACGTTTTTACGACTTGTTTTTACTGTATAGTCTATGGACGTGTCCATGGACGTCCACGGCAAGCAACTCGGCATCCGCAAAACTCACGGCATGTATCATACGTTGCTGGCCAGCCATGAAACATCTCATACATTCGACTCCTACCTAGCTAAAGACTGTTCATGGTGCGAAGGTGTAGATTACCGATTCAGGTAAAAGTCAATCGACGGATACCCTGCGAATCGAATCCTCCTTAACAGTGGCCCCTTGAGCGTGGACCTGTTACGTTTCGTTTTCTCGACTACCTACTGCCTGTGGAGGCACGCACGTGCGAGCCGTGGGTCCTGTTCCATGGGCAACTAGACTGGATAGGGCAATAGTCCTTCAAAAGAACAAGACCAGCACATGCTGGACCTACAAAGCCAACAACTGTTTCTGTCTTTTCGAAAACAACCAAATAGGATTCCAAAGTCCAAGACGAAGCTCGAGATGTAGATGTATGGGTTCCATCTACTGTCGTTTCTATCAATAGACTAGCCCCCCCCCTAGACTAAATACATTTGCCCAAGTAAAAGTAGCCCTCCACAGGAGGACCTGCCCAACATGCCGGGTATATACTGGCCTCTGCGAAGAAGGCGTTATGCAATGGTGATGCCAAAAGTCAAAGCCGGTACTTCATCCCAAAAGGCGTTCGAGTCTCATTGTCGTGTTGCGAATGAACTTCGGACCAAAGAAACAATACTCAACTGACCGGGTGCTGAAAAGCGTACAGCGCATCCTGCGACGTTTAGAACCTGTTTGGCAGCGCTTCAACCATTCGATTGGGCCACGACCCCTTCAATCCAATACCAAGGACGACTTGTTAAGGAAATTAAAACGAGGCAGATGCGTAGGGCCTTTACGCTGACTGCTCCATTGGTCAGAACGTTGCTAAAGGCTGTCACGCAAATCCTACGAAAGCGAATCACCGAAACATTTACGTAGCGGCGTGCAGTGTTATGGAGGCGATTTCCTCCCCTTGCGCGTCGCTAACCACAAAGGACAGCCAATGATCCTCCCCTTCTTCCTGACCAAACAGCAGAGTGTAAGCCACTCCACCCAAACCCTCATCACCGGCCCCGTTGCCTGCACAGTCGTCGCCCAATGACGCTTCAAGGTTGGGCATTAGCTCTTGCGGCGCCAGCTCAGGGCAGGGCCCCGGCCGTTTGGTGTTTGTTTTCGTGTCACCGCTACTATCTCTGCTATCGCTGGTACCGCTACGGTTGTCGCTGAGAGGCACTAACCCACCGCAGCCAAGCTCGTAAACGGGAAACCGCCCCTCAGTCTCGTGTCCGGAAAAGAAGGAGAGGGCGTGTGGTCGTGATCTGCATTTCTCAATTGTGCATGTGTTTTCAACGGTGAAATATTCAAGCGGTGGTGAATGAGCAAGTGGGGATGGTAGGGAGGGATGGGGAGTGGAATCGTCATATCCACGATCGCGATGGTGAAACTATTTCAAAAAGTCTCGGGGCGAGGGGGGGGTAGAGTGCTCTGAGAGATTCACTGTGCTGTGAGGCCGCCTAGGTACACCTGAGGAATAAAGAAAGAGCTCGGCTCTTCGAGGTGGGACAAGACTTCGACTTCTAACAGGGGGTGAAGAACGTTTAATTGCATAAGGTCGATGTGCCATATGGCGTGCGCGGTAAAAGTTGCTGAAAAATACCGGTGAGCATTTGTTGCTTGTATGACTCGTTCCGGGCAGTGCCTGTCGAGGCAAACCCCTATTCATTTTCGGGCGAGTCTCAACTTTTGTCAGAGAAGCAGCAGCTGCACGAGACATTCCTTCATAGACAACTCATTAGGCTGCTAGTATTTTCGGGTAGTTTACTCCTTTTGGAGGACGGTGAAAACAAAAGTTCCCTCGACATTCATGTTAAATTCGCCTTGATGCCTTGCAAGCAATATATCTGCAGTCCATGCTTTGCTTGTTACATGTCTCGGGGTCCCCACGTGTTTCGTAAAACCAATCTTACTGCATACATGCCCCAGATTAACTTGTTTACATTTATTTACGACACTTCCGGAAAGTGTCTACTCAGATATTGAGATGTACGACCTTAAAGTATACTGATCATCCGACGTTAAAGTATACTGATCATCCGGTAGAACGAAATTCCCTGAAAAATATCCCTTCGAATAGTCTCCTGTGTGCTTCGTTTCGGAAACCTGATCGACAAACTCGAAGGGCTGAACTCGAACGGCATCTAGACCAACAAGTTTTCGAGGAACCGTTGCAGTTTCAGACCCTCTTTCTCTCCCTCTCACCTCGCAGGCGTGACGAACACAACGTTGCTGCAGCCGTTGGCGTGGAGCCGCGACACCATGCTCTACACGTCCGTGGTATGCAGCGTCCATCATCCAATCGTGTCGGGCATCCAAGGACCAGCAATATCAACAAGGGGCAGGCCCACGGCATGGGGGAGGCAGGCACCAACGGAATATACAGAGAGTGGCATCAGCAACAACGTCTTCTCAGGCTCAAAACAGAACTCTAAAGTTAAAATTTACCATGTCTCACGACTGCACGTACAACGCCGAAAACGAGATTCTTGCGGAGAACCGGGGAGCACATGGTGGTTTGGTGGGTGAATGGGTGGGTGCTATTTCCGAGGTGGCGGCATGGATGACTTCCTGTTTTTCCGCGGGAAGGGCTTCGCGCGTGAAATATCCATTCACCAAGAGTCCGGTGGTTGCGAGTTCACCCCTTTTTCCGTCGCTTTTCGTCTCAAGCATGCATGTGATGTTCAGAATCACTCCTGGTCTTCCCCTCTCACATGCCCATGACAGAAATGAAACAATCGATAAAGTATCCGCTCAAACATGAAAAGGCAGCATATGCGGGTGGGTACCAAGGCACCCATCTCCCCCATTCTGGTGGGGCTGATTGCAGGCATCCGCTGTACCAAAACGTCGTCACAGAACCCCCTCAGAGGCATCGAGACGCGGGCGATTGCTATCTTCGTACTTATACCGGCCAGTACCTGCAACTGCACGGTTGCCCTCGAGATGTCACTGCTGATTTTGTCTGTCAAGCCCTCCTCCCACGCTTGCCCCGCCGTAACGCCACCATCGACAGCATCACCACCACTGCCACCACCACCACCACTTGGGCCTGACGTTGCCGGAGATGAGTGGGTGCTCTCTTGCCTCGAGGAAGCGGATAGCTGTGATTCCCCTTGCTGTAAGCTATCGCCGCCGGACCCACCAGCAGGCGCCGTCTTGTTCTTCTTGCCGTTGGTGGCGGTGGCGGTGTTGGAGGTCGTGGTGGACGATTTCGAGATGAGGTGGGAGCGCAGACGTGCCTGGATCGTGGCCGCTGCTGCGTGCTGTTGAGCTGTCCCCTCGTCCTCATGTGTCTGAGAGATGGACGGAAAATAGAATACGCAGCAGAGCAAGTCCAGTGTATCTTGAGAGGAAAATTGAACAGGATTATGAACCAGGGTCCGTGATACATGATAGTCCATTGCAGTTGGTGTGGTATCTCTACCCCTCGTTTGTACCATAATACAGCAGTTAATCGAACTGGGGGCCTGTTTGTGAATCGATCAATACGCTTGTATAGATTTGACCCGTCGTTCACCGATTTCGGTATTTTCGTATACAGATCTTGCTTGAATCACGGGTGGGTTGAGTCTGCCTTATATGACAGAGGTTTTCGCTCGCATCCTCTTCCAAGATTCCACCGACAATGTTTGTCCCACCCTCGGCAAATAGAATTGCTCGTTTCCCTGGTATATTGCGTGATCCCGCCCGAACATAGCAGCGCTTGAACAGTTACTATGTTGGATCATCAGCAGCTTAGTGTATTAGTTTAGGATAGGTCCATCAAGTTGGCTAATTATGAGCACCATTGCCGAAGGTTACTTGCCAGGGCGAGTCACGCCTTCGATGGATACGCCGGGGCAGGCATATACATGGCGATGGAGAAGCTAGAGCACGACCTTAGGTGATTACCCCTCATCTCCTTCAGCAACCCTATCGCCAGGCTTATGCAGGAACACGCTTAATGTAACTCGTCGATGCCAACATGGTGGGACCATAAAATACCGATAAGACCAACGGCCCATACATACAAACAAATGCTATCAGTTTTCCTCTTGTCAACATTGTTGGTTTAGATCTGTATCTGTG